GGGGGAACAAAATCACCTGCCCTTTGTTTAAGAGTTTGGAAGTTGTGGAAATTGGCAATTCAAAACAACATCTTACTGAAAGCTGCTCATCTAGCAGGTCATTTGAATTCAATTGCAGATCACCTGTCCAGGGTAAAGATTCAGCATACAGAATGGTCTCTGAACAATCAGGTACTGAATCAGATATTCAGTGTTTGGGAGAAACCAATGATAGATTTATTTGCTTCGAAATGGAATCACAAGACTCCAATTTACTGTTCTTGGATTCCAGATCAGAAAGCTCTAGCAATAGATACGTTGTCAATATCATGGGACAAGATGATTGCATACGCGTACCCTCCAATATGTCTCATTCCGAAAATTCTGTCACACATGAAACATTTCCAGTGTCAAGTAATTCTCATTGCGCCACAGTGGCCAAGGAGACATTGGTACACAGATCTATTACAGATGCTAATAGACATACCAATAAGACTTCCTGTAAGAGAAGATCTCTTAGTTCAACCAAGGTCAAACATTTATCATCCAGATCCAAAGATTTTCAATTTGACGGCATGGCCTCTATCAACAGAAATTTCAAAAGTAAAGGCTTTTCAAAAGAAACTAGAAAACTTTTATCAGCATCATGGAGAAAAGGAACTCAAATTGACTACAATTGTAAATTCAGAAAGTTCAGTAGTTGGTGTGATAAACGGAATAAAGATCCCTATTCAGTATCTTTAGTAGATTGTGCAGAATTTTTGACAGAATTGTATAAGGAGGGTCTACAATATAGAACTATTGCGGGTTACAGGTCTATGCTTTCTTCTGTTTTGACTCCAATTGACAATGTACCTGTTGGACAGCATCCGTACATTATCCGTCTTCTTAAAGGCGTTTTCAATTCAAGACCTCCAAGAGTTAATGTAGTACCTGACTGGGACTTGCATAAAGTACTAGCTATGCTTCAAAAAGAACCTTTTGAATCACTGAAATTGGCTTCTTTAAAACATGTGACTTACAAGACTGTTTTTCTTGTAGCCATTACAACATTTCGGAGGTGCTCAGACATCCAAGCCCTGAAGTTAGGCGAGGGAGCTGTGACAGTGACAACCAGAGGAGTGACGTTTGTGAGACAAGGACTTTCAAAGCAAGATCGCATGAATCATTTTGGTGCCAAGATTTTTGTACCAACTTTTTCAGAAAATAAAAAGTTAGATCCTAAAAGAGCATTAGCTTTTTATTTGAAAAGAACAGAAAACTTTAGACACGTTTTGAAGGATAAAGATGAAACAAAATTGTTTCTATCTTTAAACGGTCCTCATAAACCGGTTTCAACACAAACAATATCAAGATGGATTGTCAATACCATCAAAATGGCTTATGATGACAATATTGAAGTAAAAGGTCATTCAACACGTTCTGTTGGTCCTTCTTGGGCACTTTTTAATGGTGCAAGCATGTCATCTATTTTGAACTCTGCAGATTGGAAATCAGAGTCTACATTCACAAAATATTATTTGAAAGATGTGAATGTAGCAGTATTAAAACATTAAAGTTTATTTTTTTCTGCGAGTTGCGATATATGTAAATTTTGACATTTTTGGTGTTTTATTTATATAGATATATAAATGTATGTACATAGTGGTTAAGGGAAAGAAGTTTCATGTATATAGTCTATGAAGAGAAGAGAAAATTTATAAAGATTCCCACCAGCCTATTTTTAGGTAAGGCTTTGAAATCATCCTTATGTATATTTTCTAGGTGGTAAGTAAAACCGAATGAAATGAAATTGAAAATTTGATTTTCAAGTTGTAATTTTATGAATGAAGGTTTTACTTACCACCTAGTACTACCCTCCCTTCCTCCCCACAGTTCTTGTGACATGTTTGTCGCAGATAAAACTGATTAGAGGAAGAGGAAGTAAGCGTGTTTAGGACTGATCTGAGTCGGTAAAGCGCTTTATTTAAATGCGAGTTGACTGTGGTAAAGGGAGATAAATCCTTATGTATATTTTCTAGGTGGTAAGTAAAACCTTCATTCATAAAATTACAACTTGAAAATCAAATTTTCAATTTGGGTAAAAAAGTGTTAGCCTATTACAAAAACATAGTGTTCGGAAAATAATTAAAATTTTATGCATACGAATTCGAAATGTAAAGAGAAATCGTTGTCTTGGAAAATATTTGTCAAACCTCGAGCTCCATAAAGAACATGATTTATTTGCATTATTTAAGAGTGATAGAACACATTCTTTGTTCTTTCTATTTATTATAATATCCATTCCCATTTTCTTATTTGTAACATTGTACGTAGATGTATTTAGTAATTCACTATGTTTTAAAATTTCTGATGTGTCATTATGGTCCAACGATTAGAAACTTTAATAAATACATAGATTCAGATGTTCCTACTCTATCATTCCACGAACCAGATCCGCCACTGATGATATGTTTTACCGGTGCCAGGATCATTTGAGTAGAGTTTTGTTATTTCATTTGGACAAATTTTAAGTAACAAAACACAAAACCGCATGTACTAAAGCACATAGAGTATATATATTTTCCCTTTATCTGGTCCTATTTATTAAAAGTGAAAACATTAAATTTATCAAGTAATCGCCATTACGAATGAGGGTAACGCTTACCCTTAGGAATGTCTTGTTTTTTATTGAGTAGTTTATGACTGAAAATATGCGACATCATGGAAGGAATTCATAACAGTGTAGGCTACAGATGTCCAACCAAAATTGATATTCTCATAATTTATAAGTAAAGATACATGTATAATTAGAAATAAAATATTTTTTATGTTTGACTTTAAAAACATACTGTGTATATCTAATGTCAGGTAATTCCCACTTTTTAATCTTTTTGAAAATTAAAAATATATCCAGCCAACTGAATAATTTCCTATTCCTAAATGAAAAAAATCTGCCCAAATGAATTCATAATTAGTACAAATGAGAAGAATGAAAATAAATTCTACAATTTAATGATTATAATCAGCAATAATTCTGCCATCATTTTCATGAAGAATCCACGTTATTAATTGTTATATTACGCATGTGTTCATTTTATTTTATACAAGTACTTTCCGTTAAAGTTGTATCTATAAGTTAGAGAATTTTAAAAGACCATAGAGCGTATTACTTTTAGTTCGGAGTCGAGTGCATCATATGCAATGGTACTTTTTCCCCCGCATTATAACACAAACATGCAATTCTTTTCTTGTCACAATTTATGTCCGGCATCATATAATACCTCCATATTTTGGCTAGGATCTCGGTCAATATAAGAAAAATATAATATCTCCGAAAAACTTTTAAATTTTTTCACACAATTCACAAGAAAACATTTCATTCGTTCGATTGGCATTAGCTAAAAATCGGATCGAGTTTTAGCAAAGAAATAAAGAAGCAAACAAACATGCATATCATCGTCAACGCCATTTTCTCTCGATTACACCCAGCATTCATGAAGAGATAAAGAGTACAGAAAACCAAGAACACAATGAATATTCTATGTGCATAATAATGATATGCGCAGCTGTATGCGCAGAAAAATTGTTTGTGTAATTTTTAGTTTCCTCTGCTCGTGCAGTTTTTGATTTTACGTTTGTGCATTTTATACCCCTTAATCGTGCAAAAAATTTCGGATTCGTGTATTTTTCGTTATGTTTGTGTTAAAATCTTTCAAGCTATGTGCAATTTTTACCGATACGTGCATTTTTATTTTACTCGTGTATATTTTTCTTCAAGCTCGTGTATAAAATCGTGATTCTTGTGCAGAAAATAATTTTGAAGCAATCGGCGTGCCATAGAAAAGGCTCGCGTGTACCAATTGACGACAATTATGTGCTGTGAGGGTAGGTACATATTGTCGCCGGCGACAACAGGTAAAGAACGACAATATGTAGAGTCACAACTCTTACCGCTTCAAGTTTTTCATCAAAATTGTCTTTGTCAAAGCTACTTCCTCAATTTAACGCAGAAAATGGCGGTGAACACTTCAATATGTTTGTTTATTTGTTGTTTTTTCACTGCATTTCTAAAAGGTTTGTTATGAAGTTTTATATTTTTAGACATTGAAATGGTTTATTTTTTTACTGTAATTGTGTTGCATTTGCTACATTTTTAAAACGATTCGTTCTCTTCTAAATTGTCATGCATGTATACATTTCAATTTTAATATAGCTATCTTGACCAAATCATAACTGAAAAAGTGAAACTTAATTACTGATGAAAAAATGAAAATTTTAAACGTGCTATTTTACAAAAATGATTTTAAACATAAAAATTAATGAACATGAGATTATAAAAAATACGGAGAGAAAACGTGTTTTGAAAGTATTTCAATTAATGAGAGAGATTAAAAGTCGGATGCACGTGTATTTTTCCACAATATTTTGGAAGAATAAAAAATTGACACGCACATACGAGGGGTGATCAAAAAGTTCGCGAACTATCTCTATATTTTCAAAACCACAATTCAGATCAGAATGAAATTTGGCACACATATAGTCATACACGTGTTCTATATATAGCAGTTTTATGTAATGTTTTGCTCCTTGTTTGTGACGTCACAATGTGAAAATGACGTCATTAGATAGGTAACTTGTGACAAAAAATGATTGACTCAGTCGTACTCGAGCAACGAACGGCTGTAAAGTTTAATGTTTATCTTGGAAATTCCTTTGCAGTAGCATATAATAATTTGTACAAAGTTTATGAAGGCATAAGACTTGCAAGGAGTTCAATCATTAATTGGATTGATTGTTTTAGTGAAAGAAGGAAGATGGTTAAAAATGATGTTTGTTCTCTTGCCCAGTGAAAGCAAGCTGGGGAAGAGATGTGTCCTCAGTTGAGCAATTTGATATGAAAGACCGCCAAGTTTCAGTTAGAAAAATAGTTGAATATCTTAACAATAGCACCGATAGAAATTTACGTCATAATTTATGCGCATAAATTAATATTAGTTTCTCGCTAGAGGCGCTGTAGTCGGTTCGGACAAAAAGTTACGATGGCGGCTGATTTATTACTAGAAGAGGACATTCCCGGGGCAAAGTTTGTTCACGCGTCGGTAGAGGAACACACAAATATTCAGTTAAAAAGATGGTTGAAATGTCGTGGGCTTCCTACTTCTGGAAAACGACCGGATTTGATAGAAAGGTACCCAATGTTTGATAATGTTTTATGCAAACAGCGAAAACCACGAGTATCACGATTGAAACATTAACGTAAACAATAAATTATTAACATTTTTTTCTCAGTAATGTTTCGTTTCAATTAAATTAATAAATGATTAAATCTACAAAAAACAAAAACAAAACATGTACGCTTTGACCTTTTGGCCATTAAATGACTTTCCTAATAATATGCAGATGCCAGAATGCTGTAAACAACAATGTTAAAATTGATCTGAAAGTTGACGATGGTAAATGGCTGAAACTTAAAAAGAATCCAACACCCGCTGCATCCCAAGTTCCCTATGTTCCAATTCAAGGCTGGAAGAAATTTCCATCTGTGTCTATACCAAAACATTTTAATCATGGGTATATCTACTATTACCTTGTGGAATCAGTAGCATCAGTAGAGTGTGACTCAAACAGCTCTGATGATGACTGTCAAGATGATGTACATACTAGCAAACCATTTACTAAGGGTATGAATCTTTTTAGGAGTGGTCATGTGAAAAACATACATGATGTCAGTTGTAAAGGACACTATTTTGTTAAAGCAACAGTGTTGGCTTCCTACTCACAACATTTCTACAACTGTACAATAACATTATCCGAATCATCAGGATCAGTATTAGAGGGAACATGCACTTGCTCTGCTTCTGGCTTGGGCAGATGTTCTCATGTTGCAGCTCTGTTGCTTGCATTGGAGGACTACACTATTGAATTTGGGACCGACTTGCCTACCTGCACAGACAAACTACTACAGTGGAACAAAGGTAGAAGAAAAAATAAGAATCCTGAGACAATTTTCAACAAGGAATACAAGTCCATGAAAAAAACTCTTAAACGTCAAAAAACCTCAGTCAAAAATATCTTAAACTCTGATCCAAGACCTGAAGAACTGAGGGAGAATGAAGTATCAAATGAACAGAAAAATGAATTTCTATCAAATTTAGTCATGAATGGACAAGAATGTGGATGGACAAATTTATTAGATTTTCATTATGAAAATTTCAGCATAGATGATTATGGTGTAGATATTCTAAAGATTCAATGTAGACAATTTATTGATAATTTAAAAGAAATGTGTTCTGATAAATGTTCCCCATTTGTAGTTGATAACACAGTAGGTCAGGCATTATCTCTGAACTGGCAGGTAAATAGATGGTGCAGGGTAACAGCATCAAATGCGAAAGATATCAAATGTGTCAGAACAGGTATTACGAGTCTAGTCAATAGACTTCTGTGGTCAGTTTCCCCTGTAACAGCAGCCCTACTGTATGGGAGTGAACATGAATCTGATGCTCTTGCACATTACAGACAACAACATCCAAACTACAATGTGCAGGAAACGGGTTTGTGGTTGAACCCAAAACACCCTACTCTTGGATGTAGTCCTGATGGAATATTCATTCATAAATTAAATGAAACAAAGGGTCTAGTTGAGATCAAATGCCCATATGTGCTTAGAAATTGTAATCCCTTGAATTTCATAGACAATCTGTCAACAAAGCAATGTAGAAATTTTTGTTGTGTTAAAGATAATCAAGGAAATTTGAGACTCAAAAGAAATCACAAATACTATTATCAGATTCAAATGCAGTTAGCTTTGTGTGAATTAGACGTTTGCGACTTTGTTGTCTGGTCTCCAAAGGGTATGTCAGTGGAGAGAATATCTGTCAGTAATGACTTGTGGTCTTACATGTGTCCTCAACTTGAGGCTTTTCATAGAGAATATCTTGTTCCAGAATTTTTCCTCATGCGGCTACCTCGTGAACTTGAAATTATACAGCTTAAGTATTAGTTTACGTTTGTACATAATAAAACAAAGTTTTCATTCATTCTTGTGTACTGTTTTATTTTGCAAATTCACAGATAAGTAAATAAGTGCATACAGGTATTGGTAATCTTTCTGATCAGTTAAAGATTAAACCAACAATATCAAGAAAATCCTGAAAATGCCACAGAAAATGGTTAAAAATCAAATTCATTAATTTCTTCTGACAAAGATTATTCAGTTTCAAAATCTACATTGAAATCACAATAGTTTTCATCACATTTATTTGACTATTGGTTTCTGAAAGTTTACCAAACATGCAACAATAAAGACTGTTTGGGAGAAAGTTGACAGTGTGTTCAAAGGTACAATTTTCTTACAAATTTTATATTTTTTTATGCGTTCTATTACCCTCTCAACATGAATTCGTAATTTTGCGATAACACGTGTCTGCGCTTCTTCTTCTTGTGACAAATTGGTTCTATTGCCCAAAAATGGTGGGATTACAATATCAGCACCTTTCTGCAACAAAATGTCTCGAACATTAAATCCACGATCTACCATGACCAGATCACCTGGATTGATTTTATCCATAATTTTGCTCTTTTTGAAAATTTCCTTATCAGAAATTGCCCCTTCAAACACATCAGATACAAACGATATTGCACCTGAAGGTGTTATTCCTATCAGAACTTTGCAAGTACAATGATTCTTATAAGAAGAGTAAAGATTACCCTGCTGCTCATAATTTCTAGGCACTTGTGTAAAAAACTCAGTAGCATCTAATATTACACGTACTTTTCTATACTTTCTGAAGGACTTTGGTAAGTGCTTGCCGATTATTTTTCTAGATGGAAACATAGCACTTCGTAGTCTATTAAACTGTAAATATAAGAACTGTATCCATGTTGAAGTTATGTCATTGACAGTACTAACTGAAACACCAAAACGATAGGCTAAGTCGGTATGCAATAATCCGAGGCGAAGTCTAACCAGTGTAAGGAAAAGTTCATCTTCTGGTGACAATTTTCTCTTTGGTCCCCTCGACTTAGATGGTGTAAGCTCAAATTTCCTCATATTATTTATTCGAGAAAGATTTCTAGTGGCTGGTCCCAGAAATTTCCACAAACACATAAATTGCCCATAAGTTAAACCAGTGTAAAATATCATTTTCTTGTCATCAGCTTTCACATCAGCAATGGAAAATGTCTTTGACTGTATACATTTTTTTTTCAAGTTCAGAAATCTTGCTTTTTAAATCAAAATTTTCTAATTTTAATGCTAAAGATTCATTCAAGGTTAAGCAACAAGATGATGTCTGGGTTTCTTCATCACATGAATTCTTTAACATGGAATATGGATCTTGGATATTAAGACCTTTCTGCCCATTAGAAACAATGTTTACCTGCAAAATAAAATAAGTTTTGACTCTTACTCCTTCAAAGATCAACTTCTTTTAAACATACAGGTACTTGCTAAGTGTCAACCACTGAAAACTTTTACATGAAAAAAGAACTTGAGATGGAAGACCTTACATTTAACTTAAACCTACCTGATCAGGATTAATTGAATGCTAAATGATTTCTTTGTTGAATCATGTAAGCAAATCAGTTGCAGGCATTGTAGAAAAACTGCATCACCTGCATATTTTTTCACAACTATTGCAACAAACTTACCATTATATTGAGTAATGAAACAACAATGAAAGCATTTTGTTGTTTTAATACATTTCAATTTTTAACAAAGTGGGAGAAAATGTATTGTCACTGTAAAAATAATTTAGTATTTATATACAACTTATTATTTAGATGGAAGAGCCAGTACACATTTGACCAGACACACCTCTAAAAAATATATACCTTAGAGAATGGGAGATAGCAAATGTCTGTTGATACAATACAGAAAATTTCTAAAAACCCTCAAAGTTTAACTCACTTGTTCACTTTCAGAATTCTGCAATATTAATAATGCCTCTGCTGCCTGGACTGTATCATGATTAGTAGTGCAATGATCCTCATCTGACGGTGCACTAGCAGCTTTCGTTTCAACAATGTCTATATTCACCAAATCACTCTTCTTGCGTTTGGGTTCTGGTGACCATGTCAAATTTTTTCGCACTTTTTGCTTCTGACAAATTTTTCAAGCTAAAAACAAATATATCGATAAGAATTTAAATTTTCTAGATATGTATATAATTTGGCATAGTGGTACTATGATATCAAATAAATAAAAAATATTCGACAATATGAACCCACTACTTATTTACTCTTGATATTTTTGGGAATTTTACATGACAATATAGGTTCTATGAAGCAAACATTACATGCACGCACACACATTTCCATGAATGAGAATGAACGTCTTACTTGTATTGTCAACAACTCTGTTGAGAGCGATTTGTTTTTAAATTATGATAAAATGCCACACTTTACTTATAACAGTGATATGTATTAGAATATAGCACATATTTCAACCCTATTGGCATATGATATATACGTTATTGTAGTGCAGGGTACACAATATTTGTTAAATTCGCATGTATCTACCTATAATCTTAGTGTGATATTTTAGACTAATGAACATAATACCATAAACATTGACATGTCGGCCTTTTAAAAAAGTTTTTACATGTAGGTCAGATCAGCTGTGTTTACCTCATATTTGGTAGCTGTTGCCGGAATTGGGTCAGGATATTCTTCCGTGGGGCCTCTACCGCCCTTGAAATGCAAACTACATATATATGTATCCTTCTTTACTGACAAAGCAGTAAAATGCTCTCGTCGACATGCACTGGCCCATCGAGTACATTTCTCCGGTTCCCGATGAAATTGTGGAAAGCGAATGAAGAAAACGCCTTCCATACCTAGTCTACCCATATATCTAGAGTCACTTTTACATAGACCATAAGCACAATGCTTAGTTGCACCTCTGCGTTCGTGTTTTTCGCTAATATTAACTGCTAATACATTGTCCACCTCAGACACCTCCATGATGTTATTGTCCGAAAGTATGGCGACGCGCGTAATGCATTGTGGGACTGAGTTATATTTAGCACACTCAAGAGTTATCGATCGGTTCTATAATATAGTTATCAAATCACTAAAATATCGTTTACTTTAGACTTTAAACATATCAGATATGATAAAAAGAAGGCGCCATGCCTTATATCCATATTGGATAAACGACGCTCCCAAGACAGAAGACTCGGGTTGTGATGGTCACCATGCTCATTCTGGGAAAGGATATCCTTATTCACCCATCCTATTGCCGATATTTTGCCATTTGTGACAAGTAGATTGTTCTTGTTATAAAGACTAACTTGCATGGTAAGAAATATAAGACTCGGAAAAATGTTTTACCTTCTGTGAACGGAACGCTTCGGAGCATGTCACGTGACCGCCTGTATCACGTGATTCGCGCATGGGCAGAACAATGGCAGATGTGCATTTAAAGCGGAGAGGACTCCTTAAAAAAATTATGAACACTGAAACCTAATTTTATTTATTTTATGGAAGTTATTCAATTAGTTCGCGAACTTTTTGATCACCCCTCGTAAGTCGGTACCCCCCCCCCCCGAGAATGAGTTATTAATTTCAGATCGGTACTAAAATTTTATTGTATTTAATCGTGTTTCAAGGTATATTTTGGGTGATGACACCGTTCTTTGGTCTTTCTTTTGTTAAGTAAAAAATATTGACAATAATTAAAGTACACTTTGAATAAAAAATAAATATTAAAATCTGTAATATGCACTTGTTCATTGGTAACCTTAGATGCCCTTTTAAGCATGAAAATTTTTTACGAATATCCCGATTTTTGTAATCAATAATTGTCGGATTCGTTAAGTAAAAACATATTTCGTGGTTAAGAAAAACATACCGATATTTCTAGAAAACACTTTTATGTCGCATACATGTATAGAGGTTTTTACAAATTTTAACGTTAAAAAATTCGATTTATAGCGAGTATATCTGTGCGTGTGTGTGTAATAGGTATATGTTTACTTTTTAATGATCGTCAGACATAGAGAGGAGTACTTCTTTGGTTTTCAATAATATTATGTTAACTTGTGTTGCAAAAGTTAAAAACACATCAGAACCACAATGAATTTAAAATGTAAATAAGGAAGTCACAAAATAAAAGTCTATAGATATAGGTTTTTTTTATTCTGCCCTTTTCATAATTTATCTAATTAAGGTATTCATGGTCTAAGGACTTGACTAGTTTACAGAGGGTCTTTGCTTCCTTCTCACCCCTCTTTAAATTAATTTATTTTTCCTTTTCTCAGTACATGTATTTGATTTGTTTTGTTTTGTTTTTTTTTATACCCCACGCAACAAGTTGAGTGAGGTATAATGTGTTTGACCCGACCGTCCGTCAGTCAGTGCGTCAGTCAGTCAGTCCGTCAGTCCTGTTTTGTTTTTTTTGTCAGCGCAACTCCTCATAAACCGCTGCACAGAATTTCGTCAAACTTTGCAGATATTTAGGACACAATGTGTAGATGTGCATATTGCTAGGAAATTCCGATTCCTTTATTTTTTCTGGGAATTTCGGCACCTTTCAACTTAGATTTTTGACCACATCTTGAATATAGAGATGAACAGTTTGTTAGTGCAACTCCTCTTAAACAGCTGCACAGAATTTGGTTAAACTTTGCAGATATTTAGATTAGTACACAGTGTGTAGATGAGCATATTACCAGGAAATTCCAATTCCATTTTTTTTCTGGGAATTTCGGCACTTTTCAACTTAGATTTTTGACCATATCTTGAATATAGAGATGAACAGTTTGTCAGCACAACTCCTCTTAAACCTCTGCACAGAATTTAAACAAACTTTGCAGATATTTAGTACACAGTGTGTAGATGTGCATATTACCAGGAAATTCCAATTCCTTTTTTTTCTGGGAATTTCGGCACTTTTCAACTTAGATTTTTTGGCCATATCTTGAATATACTAGTAGAGATGAACAGTTTGTCAGTGCAACTCCTCTTAAACCGCTGCACAGAATTTGGATAAACTTTGCA